GAAATGTTAACTCTGTTTTCTCCTTCACAGATGTTGCCAGACCTGCTGAGCTTTTCCAGCAACTTTGTTTTTGTCCTTGATTTACAGCATCCGCAGTTCTTTTGGTTTTTTTTTACAGAGAGAGTGGTTCGTGTGTGGAATGAGCTGCCAGGGGAAGTGGTGGACACAGGTACATGTAATGACTGGAACCAGGAGGACCTTGTCGACTACGAGGTCCTTGATTGTGTTTGTTAACCTGGGCCAATCAGGAAGTCCTGGCCGACCAATATTAACAGGGGATTTAGAATCTCCTCAGTTCAGGGGACTGACTCCAAGCTGGTTGGCTACAGCCAGTGTACTGTGCACAAGTAAATAAAGGGTGACTTGGTGATGGGATACCGGCCTTTGTGCAGTTATTTCAGTGCGGTTACAACATTTAAAAGACATTTAGTAAGTATAGGTAGTTCTCCTATAAAGCAATAGTTGCACTCTTGCGTAACCTCGCGCTATAGAAAATCATGTAATAGGGAAATTGCTGTAGAAAATCACTATTCCTGTACAGCAGAAAGTTCACATTATCCAAACAGTGTCTACTATTCACCAATCACGTTACAGCCAATTTGCACTAACGAAACATGTGTTATAACAGAACTACCTGTACATTAATAGGAAAGGTTTGGAGGGATACGGGCCAAACGCAGGCAGCTGGGACTAGTTTAGTTTGGGAACATGGTCGGTGTGGTCTAGTTGGACTGAAGGGTCTGTTTCTGTGCTGTATGACACTATGACTGTATCAGGGAACTTAGCTTTGCTGTAGCCAAAATTCTTTCCCTCCCACCAACCACACTAAAAGCAACTGTTTATTAATTGCATTACTGTAGGACCATACTATGTATGAAACATTTGTTGTATATCCTTGTAAGGTGACTACATTTGGAAATAAGTGGTGTGTGGAGCTAATTAGGATACAAGACATGGCAAATGTGCTTTCTTTTGCAGGTTCGGTTGTGTTCAATGACCTAGTCGTGATAGAAGTAAAGCCAGGTGTATTGTTGAGACTCACCACTGAAACAAGCCCTGATCTCTTTGCTCAAGCAGCCACCTTACATGACCCTGTGGGGACAGCAGGGCATTTAGTTTCCATTGTAGCTGCAGATGGATTAAGAAATGCTCCCTTGGCATTGCTAGCTAATCATGTGGAAACTACTTTGGCTGCAATCGGAGGTTCAGAAGGTGAGGTTGTTTTGGTTCAGCAGTGCATTCAAATTTAAAATTACACTTCTGATAATCTGTTCATTGTACACCAAGTACTTCCAATGGCTTGAACTCTGTCTTTGTCTCGGCTGCAGATTAAGAGCTTCATAATCGACACATAAAAATATATTGTCTCATGTTAAGATGATTGCATTTGGAGTGAGTGAGTCTGAACATGACTTTCTCTAAAACTCTTTCAAACTCTGATGTGCCACAGCATGTCTCGAGTTCAGATGTTCTGGGGTTATAGATGCCAGATACAACATGTGGTGTTTTCCTGTCACCAGCATTTCTTTATGGTCCTGCCAAAGAATGTAGAGGATATTTTTTGTCTTCCATCGGTTTAAAAAAGTCAGAGTAGCAACAAGCCAAAGAAAACCGAGCTTAAAACCTACCCTGTTTCTAAATCATTCCAGTTAGGCTAGAAATGGAGTGCATGATTCAAAACCATGTCACATGTCACATGAAATTAAAACGCTGCTATGCTCGGAGTCATCACAAAAGTTAAAGATTTTAAAATAAATCGCAAAATCCCCCACTTCATTTGATTTTCAGACTCAGGTTGACAAACATGGATAAGGTTTCTTTACAAGAATTGCTATTTATTAACAAACAATTAGACTTTAGCTACAGGTAACAGTTATAAACAGTCAGCATCTAACACTACAAATTAAAACGCTCATCTCCTTAAACACACATGGAAAAATACATTTGGGTGAAGAAAAACTCGGAGGCTGTTTAGTGGATGCTGAGATGATCCTTATGATTATTATGCTGGTCATAATGTTGCTTTTCAGCCTTTCTTCGGATGCTTCCACTCATTTGTGAAGGAGATGAGGTGACTGATTCACCACTAAAAGGTCGCAGACTTATCAGTTAAAAGCCATAACTTACCACAACTGCTGAAGGAAAGATGAACTGGTTTTCTTTAGCTTTAAAATGGTTTTTAACTGTAGAGAATTGAGAGACAGCTCCCGTTCCAATGGAGATCAAAGCTCTCCCTCTATCTTGTTCCAACTCCAAACTGTTAATTTATCTGAGAACCAACTACATGATTATTGGCAGGCAAAGGCCTTTGTTACTGGTAATTGGTCACTAGTCCATAGACCAACAAACTCGATATTGCCACCCAGCTGTATCTGAATACAGAACTCCTCATCCCCGAGCCTTCGGCAGCTCCTTCAGTTTCTGATTGTTCCAGCAGCTGCTTGGCCACTGCTTGCTACGATGGCCAGCTGACTTATTTTTCCAAACATGCAGCCGTAGTTTAAAACACTGGTTTTTAAAACAGTTCTTCCCCATTTCAGTCCACAATTTTAAAAAAAGCTCAAAAATAAAAAGGCACGGTCTTTGCAATCTGTTTAGTATTCAAGGTGACGCTATCAAAACATGATATCAAACATTTCATCTAACATACAATCAGTGCATTTGCTGCTCTGCTGTAATTGTCCTTGAACTGATCAGTCTGCTATTTAACCCCATTGCTGTGGATCTAGAATCTCTTGTAGACCAGACCAGGTAGAGACGGGCAGATTTCTTTCCCTAAAGGATGTTAGTGAAACAGATGCCCTTTTTTTAACAACAATCGATGATAGTTTCATAGCCATCATTACAAATTCATTTCCAGATTTTATTAGTGCAAAATGATGGAAGGTGTCATCAACAGCGCTATCAATCAGCACCTGCTCAGAAATAACCTGCTCAGTGATGCCCAATTTGGGTTCTGCCAGGGCCACTCAGCTCCTGAGCTCATTACGGCCTTGGATCAAAAGAGCTGAATTCCAGCGGTGAGGGGAGAGTGACAGCCCTTGACATCAAGCCCTCATTTGACTGAGTGTGTCATGAAGGAGTCCCGACAAAGATAGAATGAATGGGACTTGAGGAAAACTCTCTGCTTGTTGGAGGTGTGTGTGGCAACAAGGAAGATGGTTGCAATGTTGGAGGTCAATCAACTCAGCTCCAGGCTTTCTCTGCAGGAGTTCCTCAGGGTAGTGTCCTAGGCCCAACCATCTTCAGCTGCTTCATCAATGACATTCCCTCCATCATAAGGTCAGAAGTGGGGATGTTCGCCGATGATTGCACAATGTTCAGCACCTTTCGCGACTCCTCAGATACTGAAGTAATTCTGTGTGTAAATGCAACCAGACCTGGATGGTATTCAGTTTGGGTGACAAGTGGCAAGTAACGTTGTCTGGCACTTGTGTGGTATGAATGACCATCTCCAGCAAGAGAGAATTTAACCATTACCCGTTCACACTCAATGGTATTACCATCACTGAATCCCCCACTATTAACCTCCTGAGTGTTACCATTGATCTGAAACTGAACTGAACAAGCTATGCAAGTGTTGTGATTACAAAAGTAGCTCAGAAGCTACAAATCCTGTAGCAAGTAACTCATCTCTTGTCTCACCAAAGCCTGTCCAAAGTCTACAAGGCTCAAAGCAGGAATGTATAGACTTCTGGATTACTGGTCCACGCCCACTATGATAACTTCTAAAGTCTGAAAGTCAAATTCTGAATCTAACTCAGACTAATAAAATGAAAAGCTTTCCTCCACAATAATTATAAGAATCCAAAATAAAAATGCCTATATGCTTCAATACAATTTCTATTGATAAATTAATACATAGAAGCATAGAAAATAGGAAAAGCAGTAGGCCATTCAGCCCTTCGAGCCTGATTTGCCATTCACTATGATCATGGCTGATCGTTCAACTCAGTACTCTGTTCCTGTTTTCACCCCATGTCCATTGATCACTTTAGCCCCAAATGTCTAACCATTTGGAAAATCTGTCCTGAAATTGGCAGCAGCCCACAAAGGATCCCTGTAGCTTGAAACCTGTCATATTTTCCTTGGAAAAGGCAATAAGGAAATGGTGGGTAAATAGAAATGAGTACCAGATCAGCCATTGAATAATAGAATGAAGGAGATGGATTGGGGGCTGAGTGGTCTACTCCTGCTATGAAATTATGGATTATGTACCTACATAAGTCTGTATCAGCAGAATTTTACTTTGCAACAGACCTGGTCTTCTCCTGAACTGGTGTGGCAGAAATCAAAATGTGCAAATAGGAAACCATTCATTCAGAAAAGTAAATTTGTCTTGGATTTGATTGGTTAGAAACTCCGAGACCTAGAAACAATGAACAGATTTCAGGCTTTTCCCTCAGAGAATTGAACGAAATTTTAAACTGAGTGGTGTTGAGCTGCACACTAAACATAGAACATTACAGCGCAGTACAGGCCCTTCGGCCCTCGATGTTACGCTGACCTGTGAAACCAATCTGAAGCCCATCTAACCTACACTATTCCATTATCATCCAGACGTTTATCCAATGACCATGTAAATGCCCTTAAAGTTGGCGAGTCTACTACTGTTGCAGGCAGGGCATTCCACGTCCTTACTACTCTCTGAGTAAAGAACCTACCTCTGACATCTGTCCTATATCTATCACCCCTCAATTTAAAGCTGTGTCCCCTCGTGCTAGCCATCACCATCCGAGGAAAAAGGCTCTCACTGTCCACCCTATCTAATCCTCTGATCATCTTGTATGTCTCTATGAAGTCACCTCTTAACCTTCTTCTCTCTAACGAAAACAGCCTCAAGTCCCTCAGCCTTTCCTCATAAGACCTTCCCTCCATACCAGGCAACATCCTGGTAAATCTCCTCTGCACCCTTTCCAATGCTTCCACATCCTTCCTATAATGCGGCGACCAGAACTGTACGCAATACTCCAAGTGCGGCCGCACCAGAGTTTTGTACAGCTGCAACATGACCTCATGGCTCCGAAACTCAATCCCTCTACCAATAAAACCTAACATACCGTACGCTTTCTTAACAACCCTATCAACCTGGGTGGCAACTTTCAGTGATCTGTGCACATGGACACCGAGATCTTTCTGCTCATCCACACTACCAAGAACCTTACCATTAGTCCAGTACTCTGTATTCCTGTTACTCCTTCCAAAGTGAATCACCTCACACTTTTCCGCATTAAACTCCATTTGCCACCTCTCAGCCCAGCTCTGCAGCTTATCTATGTCCCTCTGTAACCTGCAACATCCTTCCGCACTATCCACAACTCCACCGACTTTAGTGTCATCCGCAAATTTACTAACCCATCCTTCTACGCCCTCATCCAGGTCATTTATAAAAATGACAAACAGCAGTGGCCCCAAAACAGATCCTTGCGGTACACCACTAGTAACTGAACGCCAGGATGAACATTTCCCATCAACCACCACCCTCTGTCTTCTTACAGCTAGCCAATTTCTGATCCAAACTGCCAAATCACCTTCAATCCCATGCCTCCGTATTTTCTGCAATAGCCTACCGTGGGGAACCTTATCAAATGCTTTACTAAAATCCATATACACCACATCAACCGCTTTACCCTCATCCACCTGTTTGGTCACCTTCTCAAAGAACTCAATAAGGTTTGTGAGGCACGATCTACCCTTCACAAAACCGTGTTGACTATCCCTAATCAAATTATTCCTTTCTAGATGATTATAAATCCTATCTCTTATAATCCTTTCCAACACTTTACCCACAACCGAAGTAAGGCTCACTGGTCTATAATTACCAGGGTTGTCTCTACTCCCCTTCTTGAACAAGGGGACGACATTTGCTAGTCTCCAGTCTTCTGGCACTGTTCCTGAAGACAATGACGACATAAAGATCAAAGCCAAAGGCTCTGCAATCTCCTCTCTAGCTTCCCAGAGAATCCTAGGATAAATCCCATCTGGCCCAGGGGACTTATCTGTTTTCACACTTTCCAGAATTGCTAACACCTCCTCCTTATGAACCTCAATCCCGTCTAGTCCAATAGCCTGTATCTCAGTATTCTTCTCAACAACATTGTCTTTTTCCTGTGTGAATACTGACGAAAAATATTCATTTAGCACCTCTCCTATCTCTTCGGACTCCATGCACATCTTCCCACTACTGTCCTTGACCGGCCCTAATCTTACTGTAGTCATTCTTTTATTCCTGACATACCTATAGAAAGCTTTTGGGTTTTCCTTGATCCTACCTGCTAAAGACTTCTCATGTCCCCTCCTGGCTCTTCTTAGCTCTCTCTTTAGGTCCTTCCTGGCTAACTTGTAACTCTCAAGCGCCCTAACTGAGCCTTCACGCCTCATCTCTACATAAGCCTCCTTCTTCCTCTTGACAAGAGATTCAACTTCTTTAGTAAACCACGGTTCCCTCGCTCGACCACTTCCTCCCTGCCTGACAGGTACATACTTATCAAGGACACGCAGCAGCTGTTCCTTGTACAAGCTCCACATTTCAATTGTGCCCAGCCCCTGCAGTTTCCTTCTCCATCCTATGCATCCTAAATCTTGCCTAATCGCCTCATAATTGCCTTTCCCCCAGCTATAACTCTTGCCCTGCGGTATATACCTATCCCTTTCCATCGCTAAAGTAAATGTAACCAAATTGTGGTCACTATCACCAAAGTGCTCACCTACCTCCAAATCTAACACCTGGCCTGGTTCATTACCCAGTACCAAATCCAATGTGGCCTCGCCTCTTGTTGGCCTATCTACATACTGTGTCAGGAAACCCTCCTGCACACATTGGACAAAAACTGACCCATCTAAAGTACTCGAACTATAGCGTTTCCAGTCACTATTTGGAAAGTTAAAGTCCCCCATAACAACTACCCTGTTACTTTCGCTCCTATCCAGAATCATCTTCGCAATCCTTTCCATAGTTATTCATAAATAGTTATTTATAAATAACATAAATTATTCATAAATAACATAGTTATTCATGGATGCTCTCTTGCTCTCCTCGCCAGCATTCTGCCACTACTACTCTCAAACATAACATCGTCATCTAATTTCTGTTAATGTTTGTGATACAGAATGGAAGTGTATTTGCTTGCTCAGGTTACTATATTTCAAACTTTTGTGCTTCAAGACATTTCGATATGTTGAGGTTCATTATGTATTTAAGTTTTATGCTGCAATAATTGGATGATAAATAAAAGGATTAAACATTTTTCTGCATCATACTGTGCCCCATATTTCATGCAATGGCCCTGCACATCTTCATTCTAAAATGCTAACATCCATCATCCAGAATTGTTGCACAGTCAGTCCCCAGGTTACAAATGAGCTCTGTTCCTGAGTAGATATATAAGTTGATTTGTATGCAAGTCAGAACAAAACACAGTACAGTATAAAATGGCCGTTTATAAATATGAGCAAATGTTCACATGTTGGATCCTTTAATATTAATAGGGATCTTGTTTGTGAGTATGGGTGTTCATAAGTTGGGACCACCTGTATCTTTCTTACCATTAACAGCAGATAGACTTCGTGTAATTTTGAGAATGTATTAGGGGCTTTGTTTTCAGAATGTGATTACAACATTGCTTTCTGATTTTTTTTCTCATCTCCAACATGTTTTGTATTTTTATTTAACAGCAAACATCTTGACAACCAAAGGTGTAGCTTCAAATCTATCCGCAAAATTCATTCTTGATTGTCTAATCAGGATTCCAGTGAGACTCTGCAAATCACTCCTACAGAAGGTAGCCTGCTGTTCCTGGTTTGTATTGCTTTAGCATAAGATCACTAGCATAAGATCTTCAGAATTGATGCAATAAATAATTAACTTTTGATTGTAAATCGTTATATACAGCATACATTTATTGTTCATGTGAACAGTGATGTTTGAAAAGTAGATCTGTCAAAATGCCCAAGTGACCAGTCTTTATGAGTCTAAATTGAGAGTGTACGTCGTTTTCTTGACCAAACTGTACATCACCCATTTCTGTTCTCATTTATTGTTCACAATTCTGCAGCTTGAGACTAGTTTCAGCATCCTTATTGCTATCCCATTGTAAATTGAGGAGCAGTGAACCTGAAATTCTCTGCTCTGTGTGCTTCAGTACAACTCTAAGATGCATCCAGACCCATAAGGCTTGCAGACCAGCTTGTTGCGCAGCTTTGAAATTACTCATCGTGCCCATATTTGTTGCATTGATTGGAGAGAAATTAGTGGGAGTTCATCCACTCAAAACTTGTCTACTTCATGATTTTTCCTGCTCTGTACGAGCTCTAAGCAAAATGTAACAACTCTATCAAGTACCTGTAGTAATTTTGATTGTCCTTTGATTGAACTTGTGAAGCTGTGATATTACCACTTCCAGAGATAGTAGGAACTGCAGATGCTGGAGAATCTGAGATAACAAGGTGTAGAGCTTCATGAACACAGCAGGCCAAGCAGCATCAGAGGAGCAGGAAGGCTGACATTTCGGGTCTAGACCCTTCTTCAGAAAAAGGGTCTTTTCTGCTGTGGCCTGCTGTGTTCATCCAGCTCTACACCTTGTTATCTCATATTACCACTTCCCACTTACCCCCCTCAACTCCTTCCTCACTGATGCCCTAAGCCACCTGTGACAGGAACATAGTATCAGCACATTAATGAGTAGAAATTCAGTTTAGCTATGCTTCTCCTCACTACTCTGTTCCCTGTACTTGTGAAGGAGAGGAGATAATTACCACTGGTGAATCTGTATCTTGTGGACATCTGTGCTATTTATTACTGAAATTGAAGCAGTTTCCTTGGAAGGTTTATGTGGTCTTTATGAGGCACTGCAGGCTGAATGTTAAAGATTAAATGGGGATTAATAGCCATTGTTTAAAAGCTTTACAACTTTAATTTTCACGCCTACTGAAAACATCCATAAGGTATAAATTATGTTTATAGTAGGTGCAACAATCAAGGTCGTTTCTGGATGCTGTGTAAGTTTCTCTCGAAATGAGTAATTACAGTTAAGATCCACTGGTTTATCCAGCCTGTCACACACTGTTGTGACGCTGTTGGCTTCACCATATACACTGCCCCCTCCCCACTCAACACATTATGGTGTCTTGGCAGCAATGATAAAACAGATAAAAACCCATGCCCGTTTTAAGGTAGAGACAGAATCTCTCCAAATCACTTGGATTATGAAAAGACCAGAATCTTAATAGTTTTATTCTAACTTCACGTTTACACACAAGATGATCTCTGCCTTAGCCAGAAACTGATCCAGCTATTTCTCTATCCTGCATAATTCCTTATCATAGAATAATATTATTGACTCGTAGTTGTGAAATTCATTCAGCCAAACATTTATAAAATGAAAGCAGAATTAAAAGCATAGCCAGTAAAATACTGGGAACACTGTAAATTGCAGGTATTCCTGGAGCCATTTTCTCGAGTGATTGGACAATCTGAATCAAAAGAACTTTTGCTTCAAGCAGCGAGATCCTCCTCCATGCACCTGAACCGATTACATGAACTGGGAATTCTTCTGGGGATCACAGAATGGATCAGAGACTACCAAACCAAACTGGATCCAGCAAAACTTGTAAAGCTTGCATCAAAAGCCACAAAGGTTAGTCCTAGTGACGTATTTAGCTGAATTCACGTGTGTTTTTAATTAAAAATAAAGTGATACATATATATATAGATCAGCATCTCAGAGAAATCCACTCTTATTTAGGAACCCAGAGGAAAATGTTAAATGTGCTTTTTATGTTTCAGATCTTCATTTGTCCTGTGATAACACAGTGTGGAGCTTGGAGGAACACAGAACATTTTCTGAAGAAGGGTCTTGAGCTGGATGAACACAGCAGGCCAGGCAGCATCAGAGGAGCAGGAAAGCTGACGTTTCGGGTCGAGACCCTTCTTCAGAAAATTTTCTGTGTTCTTCCAGCTCCGCACTGTGTTGTCTCTGACTCCACCATCAGCAGTTCTTACTATCTCTCCATTTGTCCTGTTGTGCATTTCAAAAACCTTTTTAAAAATATATTTGATTTCCAGCAAGATTCCATGGTTTTCTTTTAATTGAACAACAAACTCTCATTACAGACTTGAGTTTGAGACGTTTTGTAACGGCAGACCAATTGATTGTATCTGAAATCTGTTCTACTGTGAGTTTAACTGCCTGACAGATTCACCAGATACTTGGTTGAGCAGCGGTCCTCCTGATTAACACCCTTTATTGTTGGGTTTACCACAAGTTGGTGGTTACAGCTGAAGAACCCTTCATAAAGTTTCACCTGCCCAGCTCATCAGGAGCATATCTTGCAGAGAGGTTATTCAGCATTAACAGAGACGAGGGACTTATTATTTGATACACAAACTTCCTGCCTCACACTCTCAGACTCGATTTTCCTTGCAGGAAGATATAGTTGAGCCAGGCAGTCACCCCAGTTGCAGATCAGCAACAGCCCAAATGCCTGCCTAGGGAAGCTGTTTAAAAGGCTCACCTTGATTTTTCTGGGATTTGTCCCAGTTGTTTGCTGAAATTGTAGGCTCTCAAGCTGTTACACCAATCCCCCTGCCCCCCCCATTCCCATGCCTAGTCATGACAACCTAATATCCTTGCACCCTCCATACCAACTCACTCAGTATCTACTATGTGCAGACTTTGGGAACCTATATTGAGGTGAAAAAAGTGCAGGTTTAAATATTGGTGACAGCTTTCATTGTGTAAACTAAACATTGCCATTCATGAAAACCTATTCAAAATTAAATCCTCAAAATAAAGCATCCTTTGCAAAAACAAGCAGATTTGTATTCATAACCCTACAGCGTAGATCATTAACCTTTTAATAAGTTCTTTGAGTTATCAATCAAATTGAACATAGAATCCCCTGGTAAAGGAGTCAAAACTTAAAAATGACATAACCATTGTCCTTAGAGTGACGTTAACAAACAGTTCTGGAACACATTTTTTCAAGTCTCAATGACATCGGCAATTTTTAAAGGGCTGTGAATTTAAACATAGAGTCGTACATCACAGAAACAGACCCTTCCGTCCAATCAGTCCATGCCAACCATAATCCCAAACTAAACTAGTCCCACCTGCCTGCCTTTGACCCATATCCCTCTAAACATTTCTTATTCACTTACTTACCAAATGTCTTTTAAATGTTGCAACTGTACCTGCATCCACCACTTCCTCTGGAAGTTCATTCCACACATGAACCACTCTCTGTGTAAAAAAGTTGCCCCTTGTGTCTTTTTAAATCGTTCTCCTCCCACCTTAAAAATATGCCCCCTAGTCTTGAAATACCCGACTCTATGGGAAGAGACACCTGCCATTCACCTTATCAATACCCCTCTTGATTTTATAAACTCCTTTACAGTTTTACAGATGTTATCTGGCCTTCACAAGCATTTGTGTCCACCCTCAAAATGATGCCTTCCACCCTGCAGGTTAAGGTCTGCTACTGGAAACGTGACATGTTTTGAACTCAGTGCTGACTGCAGTTCACTGTACCATTGATTTAGGATATTCCTCATTGTGAGTCACACCCCATTTCTCCCTCCCCTGCCATTGAGAGCGGGTCAGAAATGGGACACAACTTCAGAATCTGCACCCCAACAACCATTTCCTTAAAGGTCCGTGGAATCTCTGGAAAAATTTGGTCCATAGAGCTAATTGCCTGTATTGGACCCTTGATAGACTGATGAGATACTTAATTGTTTCTTGAATTGCAAAGCCCATAAACTGAATTTATTGTAGAAGAGACATCTGACATTCTAGGTCACAGAAGTTTAAGATATTGCCTTGTGATCACACAATGGTATTTTTGTTCTGATTTTTTAAAAAAAATACAGAAATAGTTATGGAGGAATTTGGGCTTTCTTTTGAGAGAATGAAAATCTATTCTAATTAAGAGTATAATTTGTGATCCAGACAGTGGACTCTGTATCAGTGAGCAGCAGGTCTTCGCTTGCAGACCTGAGTGAAACTGAAGATTCTGATGTGGCCAAGTCTGAATCCAACTCAGAATATAAAAGTGCATCAATCAGTTCGGGTGAGACATATTTTTAAAGCTATTTTTCTCCTATGTCCTCCTGAAGGCATTGAAACATACACTTCTCTATCGTGTTACCACAAACTAGCTCTGAACACCATCGAGCATCCACACAGACAGGAGCCACTGTAAAAACATTAGGAGTGAAAATACTGCCAAAAATAAATCCTGGATCAGAGGCTGCCTTTCGGGTTTAAGTTGTATAGCCTGAGACCAATCATCTTGCCCTGCCCAATTGTGTCCTCTTTGTTCCTTGGGACTCACTAGCAGTCCATGATGATATTGTTTTTCCAAGTTATTTATTATTTATTCCAAGTACCATAAATAAATTAACATTGTCTCTTTCTTTTATAAAGTATAAATTGCACTAGCTTTTCCTTTCATCCAGTGTAATGTAGTACTTATCTCTGATTTTTATGTGGGTTGTATTGGTGCAACTGGTTCAGTATTCCTGCATCAGAAGGGAGTGTTGTCCCCTCGATCATTGTCCAGATATTTTCTAAGCAACCTCTTCAGAGATGTTCTTACACACCTCCGGCGCAGTGGGACTTGAACCTTGGCCCCAGAGGTAGGAACACTACCCCTGCACCACACAAGCCTCAATTTAATCATTGCCCATACTTTCTAATCAACCTGTTCACAGATGTTAATGCACACCTCTGGAGGAGGTGGGCTTCGTGACTCAGAGGTAGGGACACTACTGCTGCACCACAAGATCCCTGGATGTGTGCAACCAGTGTTCCCTCAAGTGTTCCAAGATTAGCTGGAGCTCTCAGAGGTATTTTCTAATCAGCCCGTTCAAGATGTTATTACACACCTCTGGAGCAGGTGAGCCTTGAACCCAGGTCTCCTGGCTCAGAGGTAGGGACACTACCATTGTACCACAAAAGCCCCAATTTAATCATTGTTCAGTGCCTCCTAGCCGATAGGCAATAGGTGTAAAAGTCAGTGGGTGGCAGGATTGGACTTGGCTGTGGTGAGGCAGCAGTCAGATAGCCCAACGTCCTCTTGGGGAGGTCCATGTGATCGGAATAACACCACGTGCAGATTCCCATCCCAGACTAGTTCGAGGGGGAGCTGAAAGAAAACACAATGAAAGGCTGGAATGAAAGAAAGTACTGCAATTCTAAATTGGATTTGTGCTTTCTTAACCTGACAGATGACGAAGTGGATGAGGACAGTGAAAAGTTTATGCTTGCAGATGAAGTGAGTGCCCAACCACCAAGTGAGGAGAAGCCACCTGAGCACAGCAGTGACATTGTGGTTGTAAATGATGCTCCACCGGGTTCGAGTGATTTAACAAATAGCGAGGAATGTTCAGCTGGCATTGCTGACGAGGAAAGAAACGAACACAGGACCATCATTGAGAGCATCAGGTCTGTATGTGCCTGGTAACACTGAAGTAAAGTTATTAGTGCTGGTCCTGAAGTGGGATTGGCTTCCATTTAAAGTAGTTGCTGTGCAGGATTATGTGTGGGGATTGGTGGGAGATGGGTCGGACTAACAGAATACATTCCAAGTGTCACCAACCATCAACTCACAAACGGGAAATTTTAAATATTTATATATTTCGCTTAGGAAAAGTGAATTTGGCATTGGGATTGAACTAAACAATGAGGGGAAAAAGCTGATGGAAGTTCACCAGAATCGATTGGGTAGAAGCCTTGAACGCTTGTCTACAGAACTGTACAGTAAAGATACACATTTTGTCTTGGAACTGATACAGGTAAGATGTACCAGTTTACCTGCTCGGTTTCCTGTTTTGTCATTCCAGAGTTGATGTTTGTTTGTAGAAGAACTATTCCTTACTAAGACAGTAAATAATTAAAACTCCACCTCTTAAAATTACTGCCTTTCCTTTTTCCAGTTGTCATTGTCCTTACCCTCACCAACTCCCACCTCACTTAGGCCCCTATGTTTGTACAACACAGCCTGACATGAATGAGATAACAAGGTGTAGACCTGGATGAATACAGCAGACCAGGCAGCATCAGAGGAGCAGGAAAGCTGACATTTCGGGCCAGGACCCTTCTCCAGACCCGAAACGTCAGCTTTCCTGCTCCTCTGATGCTGCCTGGCCTGCTGTGTTCATCCAGCTCCACGCCTTGTTATGTCAGATTTTCCAGCATCGGCAGTTCCTACTATATCACATGAATGAGAGTTGTGATTAATTATCTGTCTCCCAGGTCTCCAGATGTGCTGTACTGTGCAGTGATCATCACCAGAGGCATGTAGAAAGTAGTTTGAAGTAACAACCTCACTCGCTCGTGAATATGCATTCCGCAAAAGATTACATGTTAAAATTCAGCATTTTGACGAGTAACGTTGGTTTTACACAGGGCAGCTTATCTTTTGGAAAGAAAACATTTCAACTGTGTCTCCCATTTCTTCCTAGAACGCAGATGATAACAGCTACCCACCTTACAGTGATAGTCCTCCTAGCCTGCTGTTTGTGGTGGAAAAAGACTGCATCATTCTCCTGAATAACGAATGTGGTTTTCAGGAGAAGCATATCCGAGCAATCTGTGATGTGGGCTGCAGTACCAAGGGGAAACATGAGTATGGCTACATAGGTAGGAGCTTGTGGATTGGAGTAGTCCTGATTAATGTTTGGCAAATCGTTTTGTGTGCAACTGAAGTCAAATAATACAAAATGAAGCAGTCAACTGGAATCTTGAATAAGGAATTTGATAAGCACTAAAGATGAATCAAGGTACAGAAGGAAAAATGGAATGAGGGGGCATAATTTTAAGGTGAAATGCAGGATGTTTAGAGGGGATTTGAGGAATTTCTCTTCACCTTCCTGGGAGGGAAGTTGAGGCAAGAAACTCAAACCTTTAAAAAGTACTTAGATGAGCACTTGATGTATTATAATATTGAAGACTAAAGGCAAAGTGCTGGAATGTGGGACTGGTATAGATTTATTGTAGATTTTGTCAATGCTGTCTTGATGGGGAAAAGGACCCTCTTCTGTAATGTATGATTCCATGATTCTGCTCTTGAACAAGGAACAAGCACAAATATAGTGGGCTCCTTTGGTACTCACGTCCTTCTAGTCCACAAATAATGAACTTTTATTAAAATAACTAACAGGAATCAATCAATTTACATACCATTTCTTGTGTTTCCCCATGTCCCAAACCATTCTGTTTCCCGCCCATCCCCTATTCAGGTTTTCTCTCTACCCAGTGCATTAACCAGTATCGAGACAGTTTACATGTTTGTGACCTGTTACTTTATATTCAGTATTTTGTAGGAATAGTTGAGTTCAATTTTTGTTTTTCTAGTCTTCCCTGTTATATAGATAAGAAACAATATAGAACCTATCTAGATAATTGTGGCATATTCGCCCTGCATTTAATTGCAGAAATAGTGTTTGCATCTGGTACATGTAGCAGGCATGACTCATTTCACTCAAGGTGAGAGGGGGAACGTTTAAGGGAAAGGTGCGAGGGAAATTTTTCATGCAGAGTGTGGTAGGAGCCTAGAATGCACCGCCAGAGGAAGTGGTGGAAGCAGGTACATTGATGACATTTAAGAGGCACCTGGATGGTTATTAGAATAGGGAGGGGATAAAGGGAAATAGACCGAATAAGGGCAGATGGTTTTTTACAACAACAGTACTGAGGAAGGGTCACCGGACCCGAAACGTTAACTCTGTTTTATCCTTCACAGATGTTGCCAGACCTGCTGAGCTTTTCCAGCAACTTCTGTTTTTGTTCCTGATTTACAGCATCCGCAGTTCTTTCGGTTTTTGTTTGGCTTGTTTTTTAGTTTAGTCAGGGCATGATGATCAGCACAAACTTGGAGGGCCGAAGGACCTGTTCCTGTGCTGTACTTCTCTTTTGTTCACTCTGACTGCAGCAGTTTAGCTTCAGTCATCTGTTATTTGTTGAATGCCATCTATACTTGTTTACCCTGTAATCTTCAATCAATGAAAATGATCTATGAACAGATTTCTGTTTTAATTTTTGTTTCCTCAGGTCAGAAAGGTATCGGATTTAAATCTGTTTTCAAAGTCACAGACACTCCAGAGATTCACTCTAATGGATTTCACATCTGCTTTGACAAGCATAGTGGTCCAATGGGATACATCCTTCCTCATTGGATTGATGATACAAGGCCTGTAAATTTAATAGGATCAGAAGCTGAGAAAACAAGGTAATATTTACTACTTGGGATCTAAAGACGGTTGTGTTTCTTTTTAAGTCTGTTTACCTTAAATAACAATTTGTGAACATAACAACATAAGAACCCAGGGACCAAGGGCTTCCTTTCTATAGGCGGCACAGTGGCTCACTGGTTAGCACTGCTGCCTCACAAGCACAGGGACCCAAGTTCAATTCCACCCTCAGGCAACTGTCAGTATGCAGTCTGCACATTCTCCCTGTGTCTGTGTGGGTTTCCTCTGAGTGTTCCAGTTTCCTCCCACAGTCCCAAGATGTGCAGGTTAGGGTGGATTGGCCATGCTAAATTGCCCCATAGTGTTCAGGGATGTGTAGGTTGGTGGATTAGCCATGGGAAATGCAGGGATAGGGTAGGGGGGTGAGCCTGGGTGGGATACTCTTTGAAAAGTTGGTATGACTTGTTTCCACACAGTAGGGATTCTGTTAAAGAAACAGAAGCAGGAGTAGACTTCTGGCCCCTCACTCATGGTTGATTTTATTTTTGTGGAATCAGCTCCAATTACCCGCCTGCTCACCATAACCCTTAATTCCTTTATTGTTCAAGAATCTAGCTATCGTTGCCTTAAAAACATTAAATGAGGAAGCCTCAACTGCTTCACTGGACAGGGAAATCCACAGATTCACAACCCTTTGGATGAAGATGTTCCTCTTCAACTTAGTCCTAAATCTGTTCCTCCTTATTTTGAGACTATGCCCCCTGGTTCTAGAAACATATCAGGAATTTGGAGATCGTGGGGAGAGTGAAAAGGAAATTAATCTTTCAATATTAAGCATGTGGTCAGGACTCCATGATAGTAACTTCCACACTCTGCTTATGAGCAAAAATGAAGATAATTTAGTACAGTTGAGTAAATTATAGAGCTAGATTCCTGCTGGAGTAAAACCATGAGCAATGTTGTTGGAATGGAGGTTGATATGTCTGATCCACATCAAGAGGAAGCTACACATGATGGATCCAGGCAAGTGCAGAACTGAAAGCCAGAAAGGAGAGTTTTACTTAAGGAAGAAAGATTGAAAAAAATGCAGCAAATGAAAGTCATGAGTTTGTGGGATATTTGGTAAGTAGGATACCCTGCCTGACAGTTAGCTCTGCTGCAACCCAGTGTAAAAGTGTTACAAATCTCAATAAAGCCAAGGTAAAGAAAAGTGGATGTCCCAGAGTGCATTACAACCAATTAATTTGAAGTTCAATGTAATTACTATTTTAATGCAGGACACATGGCAGCCAATTTGCACACCATAATCTCTCAGTACAAAGAATGAAATAAATAACTAGGTCATCAATTATAGATTTGACTGAGGGATAATTATCATAAAGGTAGTGACTGTACGTGATATGTTCTCTTGGGGTGGGGAAGAGTGTTTATTATCCTTTAAAGCACACAATAGAGATTGGGAATTTTGAGTCGCACTGTTTTGGGAAGATGATTAGTTCCTGGGTTGAGGATTGCACAGGATGGGGGAGGCAGGGGAAGAGTTTCCATATGTGTACCTCCACATGGCTGATACTTATCAGTTACAAAGGGGAAGGCAATGGCCTAATGGTATTATTGCTGGACTGTTAATCCAGAGACCCCAGTTAATGTTCTGGGGACTCAGGTTCAAATCCTGCCAAGGCAAATGGTGGAATTTGAATTCGATAAATATCTGGAATTAAGAATCTAATGATGACCATGAATCTGTTGTTGATGGGATCCATGAGGTCCATCTGGTTCACTAATGCTCTTTAGGGAAGGAAACCGCCATCCTTACCTGGTCTGGTCTACATGTGACTCCAGATCCACAGCAATGTGGTTGACTCTTAACCGCCCTCTGGGCAATTAGGGATGGACAATAAATGCTGCCTGGCCAGCAATACCCTCATCCTGTGAAAAAAAAACAAAGGCCTGGGAACTGTTAACCTATCTGCTTGACTTCTTAACAATAGAGATTAGAGGATTTGTAACTTTGTCCATCATGACACACTGAACAGTTTTCTGGATTCATTGAGATTTTTTTGTGCACAATTCTAATTGCTCAGATGGAGAACAAAGATAGTCCTGCCACTAAAGACGCAGAACCAGCAAGCGCAGAGTCTGTTCCATGACATTGACCCATCGTTGCTGCTCTTCCTGCACAGACTTCGTTCCATTACAATCATTAACAAGGTGAGCAGTGTAATTCCAGTGCAACATTTATCAGTGAATGTAAATTTAGGACAGAAAATGGCGCTGAGTGTACAGCGAATTTCTTTATCCAGTTGACATTGTGGGAGAAGTTTTAAAGTGAAGCTTGTTATGGATAAGAGCTTGCTGTAAATTTGACAGAACCCAAAACACATTGCATACAAACATACAAACTAGGAGCAGGCTGTTTCACGATTCAATAAGATTGTGGCTGGTCTGTATTTGGAAATGTGGAATTCAATACACACGGAGACTAATACACTCGATTCTCCTGCGTCATAAGAATCTACACACCATAAATAATTAATGACCCTGCCTTCACCACCACATGACACAGACAGTTCCAAAGTTGCACAACCTCCAAAAGGAACACACTCTGATCTCTCATTTTAAAACAGTTCCCCTCATTCGGGTTTGACCCACAAGAGGAAACATCCCTTCCACATTCACCTTGTTGAGACCAGCAGGATCTGATACATTTCAATCAGGTCACCCTCTCACTCGTGTAAACTCCGGTGGAAACAAACCCAGTCTGTCCAAACTTTCCTCATAAGACAACCCACTCATTCCAGGTATCAATCTAGGAAAATTCCTCTGAACCGCTTCCAATCTTTACTTAAATAAGGAGGCTAGAACTGCAAACAGTATTTGTGGTGTAGTCTCGCCAGTGCCCTGTACAACTGAATCATGATAAGATTCTATTGCTGTTGTAATAAAGGTTAGCATTCACTTGCTGCCTTGATTACATGCTGTACCTGCATGCTAACATTTTGTGACTAGTGCACCTGAACATCTAAAACCCTCGGATCCTCAGAAGTCTGTTCTCATTCTCCTCACATCCTATAATTCAGACTGAGACCCATTTAGGTGTAGTCTCTGAGATAACAAGGTGTAGAGCTGGATGAACACAGCAGGCCAGGCAGCATCAGAGGAGCAGGAAAGCTGACGTTTCGGGTCTGGACCCTTCTGAAGAAGACAATTTTCCTTCCATGGTAATATCTTATCCGTATACCATATGCTTATATTTCCCACAATAACCTTTTGATGTGGCACTTCAAATGCCTTTGGGAAATCCATGTCTATTGTGTCCACAGGCTCCTCTATATGTATAATGTGTGTTGCACTCCTTCAAGTAACTCCAATTAAATGGTTGAACATGATTTTCCTTTGACATGACCATGCTGACTTTTCCCAGTTACATGGAGTTTTTCTAATTGTGCAGCTATAATCTCTTTAATAATGGATTCTCACACTTCCCACACAGCAGATGGCAAGCTAACTGGATTGTTTCCTATTTTCTGCCTCTGTCCCATCTTAAACAGAGGAGTTATATTTGCTACGTTCCCCTCCAATTAAACCTTTCCAGAATTTCGGAAATTTTGGAACATCAACACAGTCATATCTACCACTTCAATAGCAACTATTTTTAAGCCTGAGGTCGAAGTCCATCTAGACATTAGAGTGTTGTCAGTCCGCAGCTCCATCAGTTGCTTAGTACCATTTCCCAGGCTTTCCATTCCTGGGTTTATATCTATTACTGAAATGTGAAGGTTGAAGCAAAATATTTCTTAATTTTATCTGCCATTTCCTCATTAGCTACTATTAACTGTCCATTCTCACCCTCTAGAGGACCAACAGTCACTTTACTCAGACTTTCTTTTTAAATATTCGTAGAAACTCTTGCTTTTTTTTTTACATTTCTAGCTAACTTCCTCTCTTCTAATTCCTTTCTAACTTTTCTAATTTCTTTCCCCGGTTAACTTTTTATTAGTCATTCTGTGCCATTCTTTACATTCTGATAATAATTTGATCTGCCACTCTTCTTTAGCAGTTTTCTGTGTTTTCTCCTAAAGTGTAATGCTTTCCTAACTACTTTATTGAGCTACAGATAGTGCAATCTCCCTTCTGAACTTTTCTTTTTAATAGGAATGTACCTGCTCTGATTATTTTGAAGTATCCCTTAAAGGTCTGCCTCTGTGGCTGTTTTAGTCTATCCTCTATCCTAATTGCCAATTCACTTCAACCAGCTCAGCTTTCATGCCCAGATAGCTGCCCTAATTTAAATTTTAAAAATGTAGCCTGAGACCCAATCTTCTCCCTTTCAAATTGGTTGTAAAATACAGTCATGTTGCTGCTACCCAGATGTGCCTTAATGCTGGGATATAGCTGATAACTGATCTAGGCCTCAACTCCATTCAACTACCTTTGCTCCATATACCTTGATATTCTTGCTTAAAACAAAAGGTCTGTTGATTTCAGTCTGGAAACTCCACATTCATAGACTTCTAAGCCAGAAAATATCAGATTCTAGTCTTTATATCATCTTTCAAGACCTTGTGATTTCCTAAATGTTTCACAAACAATAGGATCAATCTGGAGCATAGTTATAGTTTCATTAAGTGTTTACAGTTGCATTAAGTGGTAGGACTTGTTTTGAAATCTTTGCTACTCCTTCTCTCCACATCTTTGTAACTTCTCACAACAGTTCACCACCTCCCCAAGCCTCATGGATGGTCCCTGTAACCAGTTCAGTTTTGGCAACTGTACCTCCAATCACCTAGATCCTACATTTTAGAATTTCCCCTTAAACCTTTCCACTCTCCCTTCCTTTTGAAGAGTCTCCTGACAGCTCACCTCTTTGTCTGAGTTTTTTGGTCACCTTCCTCATGTTTCTGTATTTGATTTCACCTCACCTTGGTGAAGCACTTTCAGGTAGTTTTCCACATTAAACACACTACTTCTTTGTAAGTTCGTACTGTAAGAGCCACAAGTGGCTGTTTCTCAATCCAATTATAAAGGCCAAATGGTAGCATATCATTTGTCGCCTTGTTCCTGAACATAATGACATTTCTACACCATGTACATCCACACAGCAAAGGAACCAGCAAACCCAAGAATTATTTTGTTGACTTTTTAAATCTGTGTCAGCTGACAGTAATACACTGCTTTCTTAGGACCAGCGAAGTGGACATGTTGTAGCAGAATGCATGTTCTGAGTACAAGCCTTGGCTGAACAATTGCATTACTAATACTTTGTTTACTTCCTGTTTGTTTAGTGGTTTTAGAGAAAAACCTTCATTGAATGGTTGAATGATGGTTTGGCAATAATCTTAAGGCTGCTTGCATGAATAGTTAATTAAAATCTTGTTGCAAATTTCAGGCTTTCCTGATTCTTTCCATTCCAGGACCTCATGCAACAGTTTTTAAATCCTTATTTGCTATTGTGACTGATCAACGGTTATATGGCACAGACCACCTTAGTTTATTAGGTAATGGTAGAGTAGAATAATTTGTATGATAGATTCGGATTGGTAATCAGATGTCTTTTTAGCCAAAGCTTTGGAATTATACTGCAGTTTCAAAGTTGACTCTGCTGAGATTTTTATTTAGTGTTCTTTTTCCTTGGCATTTGCCGTGGTAGAAGTTGTGCATAGTCTTTTTGGAAAGGCATATTTCGTATTAATTATCACTGTACATGTTTATATTGCATTGTATTATTGTTGGTTGTGTAGTCCTTGAGTAAAAGATACAGAATAAGTTTCTTCTTAAATCAAATTTCTTAGTGATGCTCCATCTAGTGGTTGTAGTTTGAGAATTGAGTGGCACATCCACAACCACAGCCAGCAAAAACATTGCGTTTTTTTGTTGCAATTCTACTCGTTAATTTGAAATTGGTGTTTCATTTCTGTCATTTTTCAAAACTACTTTTGTGCAACTAAGCATTAGTTTCGCGAGTAATGAGCAAATGAACAGAAAATTGCTGCTAAGCGGCTAACTAAATGTAAGAAAGAAAAGCAGGAGTGAGCCATTCAATCCCTACAAGCTTATGCTGCCTTCCATTAAGATCGTGGCTGAACTTTGTCTGAGTTCCCTCCAATGCAAGTCTCCATTTTTAAATACAGAGCTCAATACTGCAAGGCTTTCCGACCCCTGCCAGTCCTTGAAGCTTTTCTCCCCATGTTTCCACTCCCACACTCAATCCTGATGCCCCTCTGATTGCTGCTGTGCTCTGTATCTGTCTCCTCAACACAGTCCCCATTCCTGCCCTCCATTCTTATCTTTACAGTCGCTGGTGTCCAATGTCATCACTGGGGAGTTTCACTGTTTCTCTCTTAGCCTTGGCCTGAAATTGCATTGAAGGCTTTGGCTTCACCTGGTGGCAGAGGTTTGATCAGTGCAGTTAGTCCTGAACTTCAGCTGCCAGTAAATGGAGCCTGGACAAGTAAAACTTCATCAGGGGAAGGTAATTTCAACACATATTAGTCAGTTAGCTCCATTTGCTGGTTTGCGAAGCGGTATGAGACCAACAATGCAGGTTCAGTCCCTGCTCTGGCTGAAATGACTGTGAAGGTCCCACCTTCTCTAGCTGGTCTCTTGCCTTTGCCATGCATCAGCTTAAACTCATCACCAGTTGTCTCTCTGCAATGAGAGCGCGGCCCTATGATCCTCTGGGACTATGGTGCTTTTTGCCTTTACAGTACCAATATCTATACTGTATTTCACTTTTTTTATTTTAGATGTTATTTTATTTCTGAAATTAGACATTGAGGAATGCACATTCTTTCAACATCATGCTTTAAAGTTGTTTTCTGCTGAAAAAAATCCTGAAGTACCTAACTGTACAGTCTGTTTATATTTAATAATCTATTTTGCAAGTTACTTCAACTTGAAATACACAGTTCTGCCCAGGTCCAGTTATGTTCCAACCTGTAGATTGTTTGTTTTCTTTTTCAACGAAGACATGTCTAAAGGCTCCTAAATCTGCTTTCAACATTGATTTCAATGGGAAGATGTGATTCACTTAAAGTCATGATTTTCAGGAGCATAACCACAACAATAAGTGAAGATTTATGCAGTTGATGTCCCAGCTCTAATCCTCGCAGCTCCCATTAATTACAGTTGGTCAGCCTGAGAATTACCTGTTTAAACTGATTCTCTGTTTCCTATTAGTTAGCCAATCCTGTATCCATGGAGTAACATTAGGAGAATTGGTATAAAATTGTAATGTCACTGGATGAGTAATTCAGATCCCTAGGTTAATATTCCGGGGACATCGGTTTGAATCCCACCATAGCAGATGTTGAAATTTCAATTCAATCAAAATGTAGAATGAGAAACTAACTTAATAGTAGCCATAAACCCATATAATTGATTTGTTGTAAAAACCCCTCTGATTCACTGATGTTAGTTAGTGATGAAATCTGCCAGCGTTACATCTGGCCTACATGTGAATGTGGACCTAGAGCAATGTGGGTGCTTCTTAACTGTCCCCTGGTCAGATTAGGCATGGGCTATAAATGCTGGCCTAGTCAGTGATGGCCACATTCCATGAACAAATTAAAATATATAATGTCCTAACCCCAAGAGTATGGGATCATACCTTGCACAGTACCTCTTTTAAGTGGCACTTACCAAATGTCTAAGCTTTTGGAGTAGATTTGTAGCTTGGGTTGTGGGTGTTGAAGTAGGTTGGCTCACTGAGCTGGTTTCTTGTATCGCAGACGTTTCGTTACTGCGCTGGGTAACATCCTCAGTGCAGCCTCCGATGAAGCGTCAGTGTGTTTTCCCGCCTGGTTTTTAAACTCTGGAGTCCGTTAAGCTGGATTATCTCACGTCCGGTTTTTTTGGAGTAGATTTGTAGCTCGGCTTGTGGGTGTTGTCTTTTGTTCTTTTGGAATCCATGGATTGGTTTCCCATAATCCAAACTGCGATACCCAAATCTTAACCTGAACCATCGACACTGTTCATTTCATCCTGAAAGAACATTAATACGTTTGATGAACATGGTTCTTGAGTAGGAATGTAGGAAAGAAGTGGAGGCCATTCAGCCCATTGAGCCTGCTCTTCTGGTCTTGTAACCCATGCCTTACTGAAAAAACAATTGTGTTCTGAACAGGTAAAAGGCCAGAATTTCTTAGTGACCCGTCAAGATCTCAACAATAACATACTGGAGGTGAAACATAAAACCGGAACTGACCGATGGCTGGTGATAAAGAAGACTCTAGATGCGAGAAAGGCAAGTTATTCTCAGTTACCCGACTCGAACTGCGGCTGCCATGTATGTGCAGTGATAGCTGTTTATAAAGAATTGACATTCTTCATTGTGAGGATTACTTTGTAACAAAACTTTGCTGCTTATTGTTAAGATATGGTCAGATATCACACGACACCAGGTTATAGTCCAAAAGGTTTATTTGGAATCACACAAGTTTTCAGAGCACAGCTCCTTTGTCAGGTGAAGTGATCTGATGAAGGAGCTGTGCTCTGAAAGCTTGTGATTTCAAATAAACCTGTTGGACTATAACCTGGTGTCGTGTGACTTCTGATCTTGTCCACCCCAGTCCAATACTGGCACCTCCACATTATTATTAAGATAGGATACAGTTCCCCCACTTATACAGACCATATGTATCACAGAATATCATGTTACCTGGCAGACAGCCAGAACTGTTTCCTATAAACAGTACCTTTCTACATTAAGAGAATTCACTGACTTTGGGCAGTCCAGTAGGTTCTTGCCCATTTTAAAAAGTTGTTTTTTTGCCACAGCATGCTGTGAAGTTGTATCAGCTGTTTGGACCAGACTTTAGTGTGGTTATCTTGGTGATGAGATTGAGGTTGAGCTGATAACCTTTATCAGAGGCAGTTGTTTAGTGGGGAGTTGCCAGGTTTTAAAAAAAATACTGCATGTTTAACCTTTTGGTTTTACTTGGTCAACACACATAGCAGGGAAATCATGTTTAACACCAGCAGTCTGGGAAAGGTGGTGGAGACTGTAATACTGCATTGGACAATGAGAAGTAATGTGACCTTTATCAACAGATCAGCTATCTATCAGCTACGTTTGGATGTCTTGTCTCTGTATACAGATTCTGCCAATTCATTTTGCAGACATACAGTGTGAGGGATGGTGGGTTTTACATCTGCTTTCGCCCTCTCATGCTCTGCATTTTCAAATCTCAGTTTTATTACCTGGGCACAGTTCAGATAGAGGTTGGTATTTGTCCCACTGGAAAGAGTGGAAGAATTAGGAGATCTGGAAGCTGATCCTCCAGCTTGTGTCAAAACTGGGAAGTGTTTGGACACTATTGCTTTCACAGTAATGGAGTCCATTTCCCGTTGGAACACAAGACAGATGAAGCAGAGTGTGCTACTTGTACAGCCCTTTTGAACAAAGTCATTTTAAAGTGAGATAGTGTCATAGCATCATACAGCATGGAAACAGACCCTTTGGTCCAACCAGACCATGCTGAACATAATCCCAAACAAAACTAGTCCCACCTGCCTGCTCCTGGCCCATATCCCTCCAAACCTAACCTATTCATGTACTTATCTAAGTATCTTTGTATGCTTTGAAATTGAATTTTGTCTGTTTGCAGATTAAAGACAACGTGGAACTCACTGAGTTGGCTCTTGCCTTCAAACTTAACATGGAGAAGCGGAAACTGGCTGTGAGATGCCTGCCAGAGAAACAGCCTGTGTTTGCCTTTTTACCACTGAGGAGCTTCGGTTTCCGCTTCATAATACAAGGTATTTGTTTTATTTCACTTTTTACCAAGGTTTATGTGCCAAAGTTTTCCCATTTCTCATAAAGCATGCAGTAACGTGGCAGAGAATTTATAGAGCAAATTCACTGATGCTGCACTCAAAGGGACTCCAAGGAAGAGACTTTAGGTTGACAGCCCTATTTTTGATCTTCATTCCTTTCAGGTAGAGCTCCTCACAGGAGTTAAGGCTTGGTGAATTTATATCTTTAAAGTCTTAAATTGGCTTATACAAACCCATATTTGAATTCTGCTGTAGGTCTGTCTTGTAGGAAAAGTAGAGCATGATACTATATTCTGTCTCTAAGGAGCACATTTAAAAAGCTCTGACAGGTTGTATTTAGAAGTGGCTTGTAAAGAATAAAATAATATTTGAATACAAAATCTTTTAACAGGTAATACACAAGTACTTTACAGCCAGTGAGTTACCTTTGAGATGCTGTACCTGTTACAGGTGTACAGAATACAGGTAGCTAGTGACCTGAATGCTTGACTAATTTGTTTTCAGTACAGAGGGAGTTAGCCAGAATTCCCTGTTACTTCTCAAGCATGTCATCAATGTCTGCCATCTCCAACAATGCAGCACTCTTTCAGTAGTGCACTGAGATTCCACCCTGGATTGTGTTTGAGTCCTGAACCCATGATCTGACTTTGTGTTACCAAATGAACCAAACTGAGACACACAATGAGTAATTGGTGTGAAATCTTTTACTGTTGCTAATGTTGATGAGGAAACAGCAGGACAGGTTCGATTGATGTCTATATATAGAGATTGAATCAGTGAAATAAATCGATGTCCAGCCTCAAATAGTATTAATTATATCTCATCACTGACAGTAACTTTTAAGAGCCAGTTTTCCAAGATTGCAAAGAAATGCCTCAAAATAAAAATTGTTGGTCCTGAGAATCCTCAGAAATTGATCATAAATGGTTGATTCCTCAAACAAGGTAAACAACTCCACAAGCATCAGTGTTTCTACTTCTAAATGCAAGTAGCTAAACCAAAAATTATTCCAATAACCAAGTACGGAATCTTTATAGTTTCAAATTAGATTAGCTTTTGTCCAGTTATTTTAAAGCTAATGTGTAGAGTTGGTACATTGTAGGTAGTACCACACTAGTCTCCAAAATGGAAAAATCTAGACCACTCCATGCTGTCCTGGAGACAGAGTTGATTATGTGTGATGTTCAGGTACTGCCCGTGGTTTGTGTTATGCCTGGTGAGTTAGCTGTAGTCTGATGCAGGAGGCTAAGGATGTTGAGGAGAGAAAATATACCTTTTTAAAAAAAATGGATAACTTACCATTTTCTTGACCTGATCTTAAATTTTGTTTCTAACTTGTACGGCCTTACTTTTAAAGTGTGTGCAGCCTGACATGAATTCCTAAAGGAGACCAGCCTAGTCTCAGTCTGCACAACCGAGAGGGAACATCGCATCCTTCAGAGTGATCAGTGATTTCAGATTGGAGATTGTAGTGTGACTGGCTCCACCAATTCCTACTGCTTGGGACTTACAAGATCTTTAAAAATTAAAAAAAACCTCCTTCTCTCTCTTTACAACAGGTGACTTTGATATTCCTTCCTCCCGTGAAGATATTGACCGTGACAGTCCATGGAATCAGTGGCTGCGTTCTGAAATCCCACAGCTGTTTCTGAAAGCGATGGAAACATTCAATGTAATTTCTTTATACTTTCTTTTAAATAAAGTAGTGTTTACACTTAAAATGTTAAAATTGGAACCGATGATCTTTATATTGAAAATAAACACCAGCCCCATGGTGCTAGGTTTGAGTCAGTCCAAACTAGTCCAAAGCCTTTATAGGTGGACAGGCTGTTTAATATAAGAGATAGTAGGAACTGCAGATGCTGGAGAATCTGAGATAACAAGGTGTAGAGCTGGATGAACACAGCAGGCCAAGCAGCATCATAGGAGCAGGAAGGCTGACGTTTCGGGCCTAGACCCTTCATCAGA